TTACGTGTGCTGGCAACCTTACGGAAGAGAAATCCGTCACAGTGGCTGATACACGTAGCGTACGCCCCCGCACAGTACAGCTCCGTGCTAAACTCTGTCTGCAGCATCTCATTACATGTGCTGGCAACCTTACGGAAGAGAAATCCGTCACAGTGGCTGATACACGTAGCGTACGCCCCCACACAGTATAGCTCCGTGCTAAACTCTGCCTGCAGCATCTCATAACGTGCTGGCAACCTTACGGAAGAGAAATCCGTCACAGTGGCTGATACACGTAGCGTACGCCCCCACACATTACAGTTCCATGCTAAACTCTGCCTGCAGCATCTCATAACATGCTGGCAACCTTACGGAAGAAAAATCCCATGTGTTAGGATTCTGGTTCCAATCGGAAATGGCGAATGTTATCATGCGTATGATCGTATGGGTTTTAAAGCCGTGTATTCCGGAGGAGTGTCTGACGTTTCGGAGGAACATATCGCCTCCGAAACTTCGGGCTATCTCCGTTATACACACCGTTACGACCCAGAAGGCCTTCACTCCCCTCTCGAGAGAACCTCAGATGCAAGGTAATCTAGTAACTTCTCGGTAGTTATGTAACGACTGACGTCACCACCTGCTGATGGCGCCACAGGTGTGTTGTGGGGGGCAGCATGCCTCTCTAAAAAGCAATGATTAATGAGAGGTCTTTCCTTTGATCCAGAATTCTGCCTGTCAGCTGTTTCTGTCGTTTCAATCAAGTTTGCTCCCCCGGGCAGTCAAATACGTGTACTTCGGTGTACATCAAATGAACCTTGCAAAGCCCAACGCGTTTACTTCTGCTCATTAAAACCATTGACCTACTGGTATTCTTAGTCTGAAACATCTCTGATGGTATGTAGCCAACCTTACGGAAGAAAAGTCCCATGTGTTCAAAGAAATCTTCGGTATCGCTCTTAAGGAAACATTACCGGACGGTTTGGTAATTAAATTTAATGGTCCAACAGTGAGGTCATGTGAACCCACGAGGCGGAGACACTCTTGTCTGTCTGAGTGACTGTTAGCTTCTGTGAAAAGAAACTGTTCCATGGTGGTTAGTTACAAAGTTAGAGTTGGTAAACCTGATAATCGGGGGACTACTTTGGAGTATGTTTTAAATGGACAACAATTTTTGTCGATTTCTTGTTATTTCAACGAACGTATTCTTGCGCAGGAAGTTAAGTGGACCCTGCAGCATCGATTTGATAAGAGTGTGTGATGAGCAGTACCTAAGAGTTGCACGCACACTGTTGTGTAATTTACGTGGAGAGACTGAGGAGAAATGCGAAAAATATCAGCACGGCAAATCCGATGAACAAACAGAGATACGGAAACCATGCATTACATACACGCCTAAATATCTATAGCCACATCGGCCTACTTATTATAATGATAATATTAAAATGTATCATGCGAAAGATATGAAAATATGAATCATTGTGAATAGGCTCAGGTTCACTGGCTGGATTTTGTTATGACGTTGATGAATTACAAAATCAGTGAAGTTCTTGAGAAGTTAAATTTCAAATTTTTCAAATTTGAAGCAGGTGGTAGATATAGTTACCGCCGTGCTGTAAAGGGTTAGTTAATGATTTAAGATGTATAGGTAGCTTCTGGTGGACTGACATTTCAATGACATAACAGAATTTCCAGAAACCAAATCAAAGGAGAGGGACAGACACACACAGACATGTTGTGGGGGCGGAACCCTTTTCGCTGTGGCCACGAAATGTTCCGCTGACATTTACGTCACGCCCCGACTGACAGCCGCGCTCTCAATAAACCAGGAGCAAAGGCTGGCCGCGTGCAGGTTACGTGAAGGCTTCTGTGCTACTGATGACTGTATTTAAGTTCTTTCAATTACCGACAGAGGCGCTTCAAACGTGTGTTTTCCTCATGCTTCAACTAAACCACATTCATTTTGACTACTTAGGCTACGCGCTTTTAGAGGCTTATTTATAGGAAAACTGTTGCATTTCAACAGGAAATCTCTCAACCAAAGCCTGATAACTTTCTAACCCTTCCAACTGCTCGTGACGTTTCAGTGAATGCGCGGGTTTAGTCTCTCACATGTTCATCCCTGTCCTTTTCGTCCTTCCTCCATCCCTTTCTGGGGAAGCTCAGTCAGTGTAGTGACTGGGCCATGAGCTGGGCAACGGGGAATCGGGGTTCGATTGTTATATCATCCAGACCGACTCTGTTGCTCACCCTAGTACGAGTATGTGCAAGTGGCCAATAAATTCATTCACCAATCCAAACCGCTTCTACAGTCACACTCTCATACGTGACTGTACATATATACGTGTAGTAGGATATAGACCCGTTGCTAAGCAGTGGCCCTGTAAAGAACGGCCTTTGGTAGGTAATGGCCCTCAGCAGCAACACAAGAATGTTGTTCTCTGCGCGGTCCTAGCGATAGCCACATGAGGCAACAACAGAACTGTTGGGAGAGGTTTTCTACACGGTCCGTGCCGAGGTGTTATAAGCAGGACAAGTCTAGGGTTTAGTTAGTTAGTTAGTTATTGGAGAGGGTGGGTTTCCCCGTTTCTAGACTACGGAGGCCGCTAAGTCTAGGGTTCAGTTCTCAGACAGTCGCCTGCCAATAAGATCGTGACCTCGGAAGCTGAGGAAGCTACGGCTTTGGAAGCCGTTACCAAGTGTCAACCGGTGAAGATACAGCAGACTGAGAGGACTTAGTGCGTGCTGTAGTGAGCTGTAGAGTGCGTGAAATAGTTACGTGTCGTTACGATCTGTAAGTGTCCTGTAAATCGCTTTACCAATCCAAACCCCGTCTGTAGTCACTCATACACGTGGCAGTGTATATACGTATATTGTCCCTATATGGGTTGGGCCGTGTTGATAGTATAAATACGATATGAGGCCAGTTTACAAGCGTCCCCGCTGTGTGTCCACATTCCCCATAAATTGCTGCAATTAAATGAAGCGAACGGTGTTTGTTGAGTGTCCGGCAAACATCCGCCACGTGTACTTTGCAACTCTTTCTTTCTGTGGCACATCCACACCTTAGTGCAACAGTGGAACATGTGTATATAACTCGGCATGCGCGACATGGCATTTGCGTGGACTCGCGAAACTCGTTGAGGTGTGTAAATGAATGACTCTTAATCAACTGATTAATTTCATCGTGCAGGATCTGTTTCTAGAAACTGATATTGCTTCGGCTGCTTAAGGGAAGCCGCGCTTTTTGTTATACCCGAATGCATTACACTGCATCGAATTTTTAGCCAGTTTAGTCCAGTCCTATGTTTTCTAGGATCCTTCTCAGTCACATCCATCCGTCTACCAGTGGATCTGGCGTGAGCTCTCGCCCAAACTGTACCGTTTTAGGAACGTAATGCAATGACAGGTAATGTTGATCGCGCGTGTGGTGATTTGGAATGAATGGCGTGGTGGACTCTTTCAAGATGGTGCCAATGCATTAGAATAGTGTGACAGAAAAATCATGCAAATCTGAAACCAATATGGCGAGATTCCGCACCGATATTTGTATTCTGGACCTCTTAATTTATTAGTCATATTATGTCACATCTTATTCTTTCAGAGGCACATCTTTATTTCATAAAAATATTTAACACCTGTAGGAGATATGTCTGGGCTCGAAATTACAAACACGAAATTTTTTTTAAACAATCGACAGCGTCCCCCATTTACGCCATCTGATCTTAACATGTCTCTTCTGTATGGGTGTGAAACTTGGTCTCTGACATTAGGGGAGGAAGATAGACTGAGGGTGTTGAGGAGAACATTTGGGCCCAAGAGAGATGAAGTGACAGGAGGTTGGAGTAAACTGCATAATGAGGAGCTTCATAACTTGTACTCTTCTCCAAGTATAATTAGAATGATCAAGTCAAGCAGGATGAGATGGGCACGAGATATAGCACGAATGGGTAGACGCGGTATGCATATAGAATATTGGTGGGAAAGCCAGAAGGAAAGAGACCACTAGGAAGACCAAGACGTAGGTGGGTGGACAATATTAAAATGGATCTTAGAGAGATAGGATGGGGTAGTATTAATTGGTTTGATCTGGCTTGTGATAGGGAGCATTGGAGCGCTCTTGTGATCGCGATGATGAACATTTGGGTTCCATAAAATGTCGGGAAGTTGTTGAGTAGCTGCAGGACTGGCGGCTTTTCGAGAAGGGCTCATCTCCATGAGTGACTTGACGTGTGTATGAACTGCGCGAAGTGGAACCCGGCCCCTAAGTATCGGCCAGAACAGAGCATGACGGAGCCGGCATGACCCGTGTCGCTTGCTCAGTCGGTTCAGTGTGAATGGAATGCAAGGAATCTGACAGTAGGGACAGGAGAAAGTAGCCGTAAGCGTTAAGCAGGTGCGATCGCGACCTGGCAGGAATTCGAACCCGGTATTTTCTGATACGCCAGTTCTGCTTTAAGGTCGGGGAGCTAAGGTCCAAATCCGGGCTTCTTTGTGTTCGATAGTGAACCTTCATGATTCATAGAGGTATGACACTCTCTGATGAAACCGATGTTCGTAGAAATCTCCATCTTAAATTTCGTGCATTTTCTTCTGCGGACAATCCGGCCCTAAGTACGGTGCATCTCTACTGTCCGTCTCTCTCGCGCCGTCCAATCTGCGATGCAGTTTACCTGTCTCTGTAATCGCGGGGGGGTGGGGTGGGGGGGGTGTCATTGCGAGATTCATCCCTCACCCGCCGTATTTCCGTCTGGGCGGCAGAGATGAAGGATCTGTGTGTTGCAGTTGGCGACACTGACGCCAGGCGACTTTGTTGCCATAGCAACCGCCATTTTCTGATACTAACCTCAGTTATGTCCTTAATGATACTACAGCAAGTAGCGAAAAAATGGCCGCTTACTTCATAAATTAAATTTGTCCTTTAGTTTATTCTTTCATTCAGCGTCGGTGCCCTGTAGAGGGTGCGGTAAGCCCCATGTGTACGGAGGCAGAATACAGTTGCAACACTCTCTTCTCTTTTCCAGCTCATACGAAACGGCAACTGGAGGACTACATGGCTATGTACCCCAAGGTGAAGATAGTGCGGGCGTCCAAGCGGGAGGGTCTCATCAGGGCGCGCCTCCTGGGCGCCAAGCACGCCACGGCGCCCGTCCTCACCTACCTGGACTCACACTGCGAGTGCACTACGGGTGAGTCACAAGCTCTCGCCTTGCTTGCTTACTTACAGTCAGTACCACAAATCGACCAATAGAGGGCAGCATAGAGTTACTGATACGGGTTCGCCGGGCAGTCGGTATTGCAGTGAGTCAACTCTCGGTACAGTTTCTTTTCCGTCTATAATGCAAACCCCTTCTTATTTTAGATGACACCAAACTTACATTTAACTCTATTATATTTCAGCATCCTGTTACACTCACACTCTGTAGGCCATTGAAATACATTGGACAAACGGGCCGAACATTTAACACCAGATATAAAGAACATATACATGATATTAGAAATAATAATTGCAATTCCGGGTACTCAAATCACATACTAAATACGGGACATGCATACGGAACAATAACAGACGTAATGGAAGTTGTAACAACGGGAAAAAAGGGTAAACATTTGAATACATTAGAGAAATACAATATATATAAAATAAGTAAGAAAGGCCTACAAATGAATGACACACACATAGAAACATACAATCCCATATTTCAAACTATATACGAAATCTATACAGACTAACGGTACCTCCCTCCCCCACTACCCATTCCCCCTCCAACACCCACCAACATGAAACACAGCACACAATACACCAGACAGCACACCAGACAACACATGAACAGCGATAAAAACAAGAAGTGGCCGCTGCAGCACCGTAGATATAGGGCATGTACCCTGAAAAATTTTAATTTGAAAAAGAAAGAGAACAAAGATCTTATAGACATTTTAACTTGAATTAAGGTTTAAAAAGTGCTAATTTAAAAATCAAATCGACGCGTGTAGATTAACAAAGATTTTATACAATTAGAAAGACTGGGATTTTTACATTTTTAACAAGCAGTGTAACAGTTACGTGAGTGATACACACCTGATGATGGCCATTTAGGGCCGAAACATGTAGTGTGGAGGAGGAAAAAGAAGTAAAAACTACAATAAAATTGTTGCACTTAAGACGGTATTTGTCCATATATATTACATTTAACTCACTAAAATGGCATTAAAATACATTCAGTCTCTCGCTACATGTTTCGACCTCACACGGTCATCTTCAGGCAACACATTTTGATGGAACCCACTGTCCTGTTCTGCTCATGTCAGTATTACTCGTTGATGTAAGTCGTCATTGTTCTCAGTTTCGGTGCTTTGAGAATGTTTTGCCCTTTCTCTGTTTTAGTATTTGGGCCCTTATGGGGCCCTTTGTATCTGCCGCTCCCCTGGTCGTGTGTACCTTGTACGCCTTGTATACACAAAATTGCGTTGCCTTAAGATGGCCCAGTGATGTCGAAACATGTAGCGAGCATAGAATATATTTAACTGACATTTTTGTGAGCTGACTGTAAGTTTGGTAAAGGTAAAGTCGTCTTTGTGCTTAACTAACTATGCACTGTACCATGAAGGCGTATGTCGGAGTGGATGTATAGATCTACATTTTCTTGACCTCGACACCAGTTGGAGGTGAGTGGTCAGCTTCACGCTCCGGCCGCTTTACCTCCAGGGAAAGCTCACTCGGTACACATTGGATAGGAGGTAGGGTGGACCCCAGAGCCGGTGTGGACGACGTGGGGAAGAGAAGATTCTTGACCCTACCAGGACTGTCGGCCAGCCCGTAGCCAGTCGCCATGCCCACTGCCGTATGTATGTTTGGTGCGTTACAGACGGAAGATAAACTGAACGAAGGGTGCTTCAGTGCGACAGGATGCTGGGTTTTAAGTCACGTTACCGACGCACTAATTTCTGTGGCGCTGCCATCTGCGAGAATATGCAGCATTGAAGGGTGGGATGAGTAGTGAATGATAAATTTGGAAAGGATGGGGAAGGAAGTGATAACCGTCTTGGCACTTGCAGGGAGAGACTGAGGAACACCACGAATAATCTGTCAGGATACCCAGCCGTGCCGTCCGAGATTCGAACCAAGCATTTCCCAAACATAAGTCCTCTGAACCAACCTGTTCTGGCCGATTCATTAGCATTATAGTGAGAACTGACATGACGCGAGGCCAATAATGTAGTTAGATTTCTTATCGATGTGTCTATAGTTGCCGTTTGCTTGCTGTAAGAAGCCGTCCCCTTGTTATTCAGACAACTGAGTGTGCAGAAACGCATCGAGACGGCCACCGCATGCTCTCCCGTGACTGCTTCTCTGGTCGCTACTTACAGGTTATAAATCTGTTGTTTCTGCAGTAGAAACCTGTCGTATTGCACTTAAGGATTCCTCACGTGACAGAAAACTGTAAGAAACTTTCTGATCCGCCAGAGAAGCTTTTGAATTCATTTTTCTTCTTCCTCTTCTGTTCCTCTTGCTCTCACTTGGTCCGCGGGGCTTCCGTGAAACGCTTCGTTTCACTTGAGTTTCTTAATCATAGACGGTCAGTAGGACTCCTTAGACGGGGGATCAGTCCGTCGCGAGGCTGCTACCTAACACAGAATGAACGTAAATAGGTATCCATGCCATAATTGGGATTCAAACCCACGACCCCAATGTTCCAGCGAGCGAAGACATTTCATTTCTTAGACAGCGCCGCCACTGATATCGGCTTTTGAATATCGAATATGAATAATTTCTCCCCACCTGTGCAGGCGCTAGCGCCTGTACGGACATGAATAGAGACGGACAGACAGACCTTTTCTTTTTCGCATTCCGATAGGTCGAAAACTTGTGAATCCTGCAAAATTTCCAAATTTATTTTTTCCCCACCATCGCCTTGCTCTCTCATACTGGGCATGCAACAGAGTAAACAAAGTTCATATGTATGTAATATATAATGGAAGCTCCTAATTAATTGATTATATTTTTAAATTCCTGAATCACGTTTTGAATCATGTTTTATAAAGGAGTCGCGTAGAGATGCAGCGCGCCGTGATTATTCGGCAACTTCTCCGCCACTGCCGTGATGCGTGTGCTCGAATCACAGTTCCACAGGCGCTGTAGCCGCGATGCCGCCTCCGGTTTTAGTACAAAGCTCCGAACATTCTGAGGTTGCATGTGCTTAGTGGCGTCGTTGTCTTGGATTAATTATTATTGAGACCGTACAGCGTCTGCTGGAAGGATGAATGTTTGATGAATTGAAAATATTTCGAAGGAAGCAATCGAGGTATGCCGCAGTTTTCCCTGAGGGATTGAAGAAAACCACGAAGAACTGCGGTCAGAATGGCCGTATCCAAGCCAATATTCGAACCGAGCACCTTCTTAGTAGAAGTCTATGACGTTTTTTTTAATGCTAGTGAGGTGGGGCTAAGTCCCTTGTACTGCGGCCAATTTTGGCCTATTGCACCAGCCCCAGATGATAGGTGAGAGTGATTGTGGAGCAATTGGTGGAATGAAGATTGGCAGGGGAAACCGAAGTACTCGGAGAAAACCTGCCCCAGCGCCACTTTGTCCACCACAAATCCCACTTGACCAGACCCGGGATCGAACCCGGGCCGCCGCGATGGGAAGCCAGCGACTAACCGCTTGAGCTATGGCGCGACCTGTCTAGGACGTTACCCCTGTAACAGCTTGTGCCGCGCTCAATAGCAGTTGCGTGTTATTCCGTCCACTGAAAACTGTCTCGCCGTGAACATTGTAACCTGTGTGTTCGGCTGTAAGCGACTGGATAATATTAAAATTGGTCTTAGAGAGGTAGGATGGGGTGGTGTGGACTGAATTGATGTGGCTCAGGATAGGGACCAATGGAAGGAATTGCAGCTTATGCCTGAAATGTCTGAGTGACTCTCGGAGTGTTCCGGCTGGGCGTATAACCTGACGCTGTAGTCGGTGTTAGGCAGTTGTAGCGACGTCTATTCTAAGTTCTCACAGCGGTTTCTTGCCAGACCGCATAGTTCGGAAGAACCCGGACGTTTCGGAGGAACATATTGCTTCTGGATCGAAGAGTATGCCGAGCAGGAGAGCACAAGTAACAGGAGGGAAGCGAGTGCAGCATCGTGCCTGATGCAGCCCAGTGCAGTAAACTGTGGGGTCCTCGGTTTGTGTCCCGGCTGAAAGACACGAAGCGAGCGAATTCGTAGGGGCGAGCCTTCTCAGGAGCAAGAGGAGCATGATGAGAGACGGAGGTTTGGGGGGGGGCGTGGGGGCGGCGGGCGTGGTCGGGGAC